TGGATCATCTTTCTCTTCATCTTTATGTTCTTTATTCTTGAGTGAAGCATGCTAATGATGACAATGGCTTCCTCTTCGTGCTTACTCACATTTGATAACCTTCAATAATATATTATGAACATAGTGGTTAGTTCAAGTATTAATATGCACGGGAATAAATATAAACGATATTATGTCATGCATGCATATATGTAATTAATATATATTTGTCATCATCAAAATTTAAGCTAAACATAATGTCATAATACATTAGGTCCAATATGCTTCAGTAATTTGCAAGAGACACTGAATTTTGCAACTTTTTTACGAATAATTTGCAATTTATACTCAAAATTTTGGATCAAAGAACTATTAAATCTTAAAAAATTTATTAGTCTAGGACAATGCTCCAGTAATTTATAATTGAAACACCAAATTTTATAACTTTCTTACAAATAATTTGCAACTCTCACTCAAATTTTTGGATCTAAAAACTATTAAATTCTTAAAAAAGTTATTATTCTAGAACAATGCTCTAATACTTTGCAACTTATGAATAATTTACAACTCCTTCTCGAAATTTTGAGTGGAAGAACTATTGAATTCTTGAACTTACAAAGTTATCAAATTATTTTAGGACATGACTCCAGTAATTTGCAACTGAGATATTAAATTTTGCAAACCTTATGAATAATTTGAAACTCTTTCTCAAAATTTTGGGTGGAAGAATTATTTAATTTTTAAACTTACAAAGCTACCAAATTATTTTAAGACATGGCTCCAATAATTTACAACTGACATACCAAATTTTATGAATAATTTGCAATTCCTTCTTAAATTTTTGGATGGAAAAACTGTTGAATTCTTGAACTTGCAAAGCTATCAAATTATTTTATGACATGGCTCTAGTAATTTACAACTGACATATCAAATTTTACAACTTTCTTATGAATAATTTGCAATCTCTGTTCAAAATTTTAAGATGACACACTTTTAGTGATTATAGAAGATATGAACTATACATATAAATTACATATATTAATTTATTTAATGCATCTGCACATATCACTTGTCCACACATAAAAGTATAAACTTGGATTTACAAAAGAGGAGTTGTTATGTACCAACAAAATCTCCTAATACTACCAATATATATGTACATAAACCTATATATGTCAACTGAATCCAAGTTGATCTAATCTTGTGTTATAAAAATATCAACTTGGATTGACAAAAGAGGGGTTGCTATATGCCAAAAAAACCCCCTAAAACTACCTATATATGTATGTCATCCAGATTCAAGTTCATGTGATAACCCATTTATAGTACCATCAACTTAGATTTGAATTTCTATACCTCTTTTGTGTATGACTTGCTTTATTACAACGAGAATAATGATAAACTTTCTTCTGTTGATATTGAGACTCAATCCTCACACGATGAGGTCTACCAGCTGGTCAAGATGTTCTAGTAGGCAGTAAAAAGGTTTGGTTCATGAGCTCAAATACTGTCAACGTATTTGGCTTTGGCATGTCATAAGTCTTAATAGAATGCATAGTGCCACTATATATTTTCTCCTGTGAACTATGAAGATAATATTCCTTGACATAGTTATACATATTATCATGTATTTCTTTAATGGCTACACAAGCATGTGGGTAAGAAATGCTAGACATTTGCTAAACTTTGCATGTACATTCTTTTAGTATTAGATTCACACATACATCTCCATATAGTGTCCAAACCAATGCAATATGTGAGCCATGCAACTGAATTATCATAACTTCTGCCCTCAAAATATTTTCCTTCAATTTTGCTTCAACATTTAGACTAACTATGCTTTTCTACTTACTCATAGCTGTCTTGCAAAAAACTTCTTGCTCAACTTGTCTCTATGCTTATTTATAAGAACATATATATTATGCCTCCTCTCCTCAAGAATCCATGCATTGAATGATTCAACCAAGTTGATTGTTATCTTATCCCATCTTCAAAATGGGAACAACGATAATGCCTATCGTTCAACATCACCTTGATTTTCAACCCATCTTAATTGTGGAGAGTATATCCTTAAATTTCTCATGACTATATGAAATTCATGCTTATGCCTTGCATAGGCAATGTGATCCAGTAAATTTAGTGCTTCTTCCTTGTTGTTCCTTCCCATTTCCCTGCAAACTTTGTTAACCTCAGAGCTAAAATTCTCCTTTACATGTCAATAGCAAAATGCATGTCTATCGCCATTAAATATGGCTCTAACAGCACCAACAATATCATTATTTCTATCAAAAACAATAGTTACATATAAAGAATTAATGATATCTTTAATATTTTACAGAAATCAAGTCCAATCATCATGAGTTTCACTACCAACTATTGCAAAAGCCAATAGAAACAACTCATTATCAGCATCGTATGTTGAAGCTGCCAATAAGGTACCTCGATAAGGACCACTCAGGAAACATTCATCCACATATAAAATAGGCCTAGCCCCAAGTAAGAATTCTTTGATGGAACAACCATATGTAATAAATAATCGTTTAAATCTATTGTTCTCAAAAGCCACCCATTTTGCTATAGTGTTAGCATTAGTCTCCATTAGTCTATTACACGACTAAGGAATAAGCATATATGATTGGTCAACAAGCCCATTTATTTTCACTAATGCCCTTTCTTTCACTCTTAAGGCTTGATGATAAGTTAGATTTATACCATAGTCCTTATATATGCCAACTTTGATTTCATTAGGTCTTTTTTTGACATTAGACCTTACCATGTCATCAATTATAGACAAAGTCAGTGTGCATGTTGTACTGTAAGGAACTTTAAGGTCTTATTGGGCAGAATATAAGTGCTCATTCTTGAAAGTTGTTACACGAAGTAAGGGCATTGACTTCCTTAACGAATATGCTATTATCTTCCATTAACATCCTTTTGCCTTGCATTTTGCAATTATTTTATTTCTATTGTTCTTCACAAATTTATATTCAAACTTGTATGCAATACTATACTTGTAGGTTGCTTGTCTACAATCATCAGCACTTGCAAAAATCTGCCTAGATCCTATTAGTAAATCCTTCTATTTTGTTGCATTTAAATCAAGTATTGGTGTTGGGATACTTTGTATTGCATATGGTAGAACTTCAAGATCATGTGTAGCATGTGAATTTCTAGCTAAACATCCTGCTCTACATTTCCATTCAAATCATGTTTATTACCATCGTTCATATTCATATAATGTTAATCATTCAGCTATTAAAAAACTTACCCATTAATTGAATTGCTTGTTGCCTCTGTACTTTGCTGTATCTTCCCAATGATGTACACATGAGCAAAATTATCATTCAACTTCATTAATTGATTTATCCCTTCATCATCTTTAAGGTCTAAAAATACATTACAATCAAACTTTACTGTGTACTTCAATTGTATTCCATTTAAATCACAATTCAAGCATGATGAAATCAATCTAACAAATACTTCAAGAGATATTCCTTCTTTGGTCATTCTTTCATTACAACTCCCCCTATTATAATGCATTGTCCCATGCATATCTTTTATAATATCTCCACCAAAATGAAAATAACAAAAAATTTTTTTTAAACAACTACTTTCCATTGTACCCAATAACATCAACCTATAATAAGCAAAATAAAATGTCATAATATATCACTCAGAAACAAGTTATTTTTGACATTAATAAATTTTGCATTAGTGAGACAATGACAACGTTCTATCTTAAAATATGGATACTTGATGATAAATTCTTACACTTTCAATTGCAAAATGTTGAATCTTCATGCCAAATCTTTAGAAATGTGAAATCAAAAAAAAAAAAAAACCTTTCATGTTCAATTGCATTCCATCTTTTCATTTTGCAAGAAATCTAAGTTTACTTGAGTCAATCACTTTGTTCAGATGCAAGGATTTGCAAAAAAAAAAAAATCTAAAACACACCAACCAAACAAACTCACATAGGTAAAGAATAAGAGCATACTTGAGTCAATAATTAAGACAACTCTATCTCTTTCAAGCGTAACTTCATTTTAGAAAGGGGTATTCTTCACCGTGTTTCTCCACCACTTACATGTTGCCCTCATTAATGGCGAGAAGGGGTTTGCTCGAGAGGAAAATGTTGAAGCTGATGAGTGTAAATGTTATATTTAAGCGTAGGGGTATTTTACTCATTTTTACTATAACTCTGATTTATGGGAGAAAAAAGCATGGGACTTTATTGGCCCTTTAGAATTACTTGAGATCTAACTGAATTTAATTTCTCCCTTTGAGACTTGATTGTCATTTCCTCTTTTCCAATTGTAATTAGCAATAATCCCAACTTATAATAGTAATTTCAGTACTCAAAGGTAATTTTGTAAACTTATAAATGGTTTTAATTTCAAGTGAGAACCATGATCCATTATTAAGATTTTAATACATCAAGGTCTTAAATGTAATTAATGGTCTAATGTGTTTTTAACTGTCATTTTCTCTAATCAAAATCTCTGACGGAGTCGAATCTAACAATAACTGAAGATTTTAAAATATGGGCCCAGTTCAGGGTCAGGCCACTGGCCACATTCAATTCAAATGTGAATGATTAATCGATGCAAAATAGAAGACAAATAATCCCAGCAGCAAAACGCGAATGACAAGGCGGCCGAGAAAGAAACATAAGGGTCATAATCCCAAGGACTAGCTTCGGAAAGGACATCATCTTGTATAAAAAATAAAAGTTGGGAGTAGAACTGTAGAAGACAAATAACCAGGCAGCGAAATTTAGGATCACATACAAAATAAAAATGGACCCCTCAATCTCTTAAAGTATGAGAAGATTCTCACTTTTTTTATTTTTCCTTTTGACATATACTCTCTCATATTATATTTATATTTATATTATTTTAACTTTCTAGTTGTATCCTTATCAATTAAAAGTAGACAAATGATCAAAGGAGTGAAGAGTATGTTTCATAGGATTTTAGAGTAATATATCAGCTTATGTGGAGGGGAACTCTACAGTAATATTTCCAAATATCTTCAATTTTTTTTTTCAGAGTGGAAGTGGAAATATATTAAACAAATATGTACGAGTTTACAGAGGTAAAAAACAGATTACATCGCATGGTCTATAGTGCTGACTAATTCATGCGTTTTAACAGTAGCATTGACTAGATTACAAGTCGACATAACTAAATTACGCGGGGTCTCATGCTCGTCTGAAAAGATGCTTTTATTTCTACTCGCCCATAGCTTCCAGCAAAGCGTGCCAAAACCGAGTCTCCAATGTGTGCCCATGAGGCGTGGGTTTAAGTTCCAGAGCAGCCACTCCTCAAAGGGTTTGGCGTAGAAGTCAGAGGATGAAGTATGGGGAAGGACCAGCATCCAAATATCTTCATTTGGGACAAAAGATTCACATTTTTTCCCTATCAAGTTAGTATTTGAAAACAAATAATAATTTTCCAATTCACTTTATCCTCTTGATGAAATGCACAGATCAAGTGTGCATTTTAGTTCCTTTGATATTCTGCGACACTGGGTAAACAACGTTTGCTTCTAACCTTCACCCATTCTACAAAAAGAGACCTCATAGCAATATATGTTTCCTTCTTGTGTAGAGAGACAATATATAGAAGCTCTAAGCCTCTAGCAGACAGCGATAAATGCATCAATTTGACATAATTAAACACTAAATAAACAAGTATTATTTACAACAGTCCCAATTAACCTTCTGTTCTGCCCCAAACTAGGATGAAACTACCAAGACCATAGAATAAAGGGACAACTGGCTGCAAAGATCATATGGTGATATCATGATTTTAGCCGACGCACCAATTTATCATAAACTTGCATAGGCATGATACACACACATTTACAAGGCCAGGTATTTACTATCAACATCTATGATTTCCCTTTCTCATCATCCTGTGGAATCAAGCCAGTTTAAACACAAAATTAGTACCATGACATGAAGCCAATTTGCCACCTAGGCTAGCTTAAGTAGTAAACATGGGCGGAGGTACAATGTCTACTTGTCTAGAGTTCAAACCTTCCAATTTATTAAAAAAAGAATCTCAGGACCAAAATCAAGTTAAAACTCAACAGATCAATATTATAAAGGTATTGTGACGGTATAAATTCGTTTTTCTCTGAGAGGAAGGCGTTTGGATTTCGTGTAACAGGTTTTAACTGCTAAGGTCTCTCATTCTTCCCCTACTTTGGTTGGAAAGCACCTCTTATTTTCAACTTGGCTTTCATTTCTTTTAGCTAGTGTTTAGATTGATAGATTTGGATTTAAAATCTCACATTTCAAATCCATACATTTAAAATTCTTTATTTTGCAAGTTTAAATAACAAAGGTTATTACTATTAGGTGGTGTTTCAAGGGTACATATAGAGATTTGAAATAATAAAAATTTAAAAAGGATTACAACTTATAAAAGAATTGAGATAAAATTTGGATTTGAGTCTGGATAAATTTTGAAGTGCTCAAATAAGGAATTTGGTCCAAATCCAAATTCATATGTATTCAAACATAACATTAGTTTCGTTTGGTGGGAACAAGTGGAATAAAACAAACTGCAGCAATGTACGGAATTCAACTCTATAGTTTAGCGTAGCTGCTCGATTTCAGGAAGTTGAACATTAAATTATTGACCAAGTACTTAGATAATATGTTGCTCACAAGCACCTTTTCAGTGCAAGCCTAGAGAAACTAAAAATAATGCACACAGGACACTGGGTGTAGGGCAGGGGAATTAGAATTGGAAGATTTTTGTTTTTATTTTTTGTTTTCAAAAAAAAGGAGATTCAGTCTGGAAGTAGAATCAAACATATCAAACTTACCGAACTATCCACCAGTTTGTCCAAATCATCATCAAAGTCCCCATCACCATCATCTGAAAGGCCAAAGAAATTGTTGGCATACATGATTTCAAATATACAAAAATTGCTTTGAAACGAGAAAGGAAAGGCATCATAAACTAATTTAAATTCATCCATGGACCACCCACATAATATTTTGATTTAGATTCTGCAAAAGATTCCAATATGATCACACTAACTATTACTGTATACGTCGGTAAAGTGCCCCCAGCCTGTTCTAAATAACAGCATTTGAGGCTTTACAATAACAGGGAGACAAACAACTAACAAGTGAGAAAAGAGAGCTCCATCTAATTGGATTGGTCTGCTGAAATGATAAATCATTCAGTTCTGTAGGGGAAAGAATTTATACTCAGGGAATTTACTCCTAAATTAGATGGACAACATTATCCTAAAGATGCAATGGATAAATTGCATTGACATAACTCAACCTCCACTTGCTTGCTTCCAGGACTCACAAATTGGGCATAGATCCCAGAGTAACACCCCCCCCCCAAAAAAATAAAAAAATGCTCCCATCATCTGACTAATCTGGCTTTACCTGGGTCATCATCAATGTCTTCTATATCTCCCAGAAGAAACTCATCCAAATCTTGCTCAGCTGATGAAGTTCTGCTCGCCCTTTTAACTTCCAGCTCTCCCTGAATGGAACTCAGTCCAGCTTCTGGTGATTCAATTGCTTTCTCAATGTCTGTTTGTTCTTCCCGAGGTAAAATTGCTTCCCTAACTTTTACTTCCTTTTCTGGTGGCTCAATTGCTTTCTTATCTTCTGCTTGTTCAGATGATTCTAGCTTAGCATCCTCCATGTACCTCTTCTCGTATCTATGGGATATTATAAGAAACGACAATTTACCAAACATATACATCCATGCCCTACCTAGCTAGGTAAAAGTGCAGCAGAGTGAAGGGAATTCGAGAAAACACTCCATATAAAGCATGTAGGAGTACACTTTTTTTTTTTTTTTCATGAGAACATGGGTTTTCATTTTTGGACCAAAACTTCTGTCCCATCTACTGCCATCAATTTTTTTAATGGACTTTAGCGATATAATTTATTTTTTACTTGCGTAAATGGCCCATGCAGAACACTGCATTCTTTTAGAAGATTCAACCAACATAACTGGATAATAGCATTCAGCCGTCCATGCTGGCTCCCTGTTAGTGATCCAAATTAAATTTTGAACAATACAGAAGCACGAATTACCTGGGATTTCCTCCCAGAATTCCAGAGGAGTGAGAGGACAATATAATTTGATACGTCAAAGGGCATTGAGCATGCCTTTCGTATCTCAATGTCAATTTACATAATTAGCCTAGATGTCTAAATAAACATTCTTAAATTTAACCATCAAGTAGCAATTGATATCAAGAGACAACAATTTATTATATTTTAATTTAATATAATATATAAAAACAGTTTTGTAAATACAGTCTTAATTTTAGGGAAAATGACAATTAAGGATCCCATAAGAACATTAATGACAATTACACACCCACTTATCTTTCATTGATTTCCCAAGCAATAGCAAAAAATTATAAGTAATTAGCTTGCAACTCTCAACTGACATTATAAATAATCCTAAATATATTTAGTAGATTTTTCAAGTGATTTATATATATATATATATATATAGTGACAGCAAAAAAATTATGAGTGATTAACTTGCAATTTACAATTAACTCTCATAAATTCCCAACTAACTTTACAAATAATCCCAAGTGTATTTATTTTATTTTCCAAGTGATTTATCTGTATATTAATGGCAAAAAATCAAGATTCACGTGACTTTTGTAAATTCTCAACTGATATTACAAATAATCTCAAACATATGTAGAAGATTTCTCAATTGACTATTCGCATTTTTGTAATTGCAAGTAAGAACTATGATTTGTTATTAGGCTTTCAATAATTCAAGGTTTATAATTGTCATTAATGTTCTCATAAGGTCTCTAATTGTCATTTTCCCTAAATTTTACTTGACAAGTAACAATGCCCAAAGTGCATTATTAATTTATTACATTGTTTTTTCAATCTACAAAGATCAATTTATCCTGCAAAACTTGCCTGTAGCAATCGTCAGAAGCAAAGTCTAAACTCAGAAGCAATAAAATTGTTTAGCGTAAAATGCAGACTATTAAGATACAGGAAAACTTCAGTCAGCACAAAGTCCAAACTATGAATTGAAAAGGTTATATGTAAAATGCAAAATATTAATGATCACTACTTACGGGGAAATATGGCTGTTCATAAGTATAAAATATATTCTCCAAAACTTCCTCTCTGTCATGACACGTGGACAAAGCTCATACCTTAATTTTGAAATCTCCTGCAAAAAGTATTAAAAGAATAGTGAGAACTGAGAATGCAAAATGCTTCGTTCTTGTAATTAAAAGAAATATAGTTGATATACTAGACAAATTGACTTGTAATGCTGTACCAGCTACAGCTTGTAAATCTAGTTGACAGATCTTATCATGTTTTCATGCTAGATTAGCATAATGATAAGCAGTGTCATTGAGAACTGGATTCGCTCCAAATACAAACCAAGGAAGCATATTAACGAACATTTCAAAAAGATCATGATAGCCTGTATTCACAATAATCGGATATAACAACTGTCATCTTGCTGCAGTTTGAATGCCTGTTTGGATACTCATATTAATTAACTTTAGAAGCCAAAGCCACGTTTTTGTGAAAAATATACCCAAACACCCCTAACATATGCCAAAATTGATTATAATTTATGAATCCAAAACCATGGTTTTCTTAAAAATATCCAAACACCCCTATACATACCAAAATCAATTATAAACCCAAAATCATGATTATCTCAAAAGATATTATTACCTACTTTTTAAAATCAATCTTATAAATCAATTTCAACCCAAAATCAATTTTTTCAACTCAAATCCAAACATACCAGCTGTTAACTCTTGCTCACCTACACCACAGGCACATCTCAATTTACTAGGTGTCCTAGTTAAATAAGACAGTCATCCTATACTTCGTGGTTACTTCAGGAGTTGATTTCACCGAAGGCATTGTATTACTTAAAAAAATTCCCAGTTTTATGGAGCCGCTAAATGATCTGACTCGAATAAGCTAAGGATTGATAGGTGTAAACAGTTAAGTTAGAGAGTAACTATAAGCTTTGGTCTCCTTATTATCAGAGGTTCTACGACAAAAGAGTAATGCTACCTTGACAGCGGATAGAACAAGATTGGCATGTTTTTCCTGCCATTCAGTCAGATCCTTCCTAACATTAGAAACCGTAGGAACTTCGGAAAGTTGCGTGTCATCTGCCAATAGGAGCCAGGAGTCAGATAAATTTGCCATATGAAGAACGAAAGAGGAAAAAAATGTAAGTACCCTGCTGCATCAAATTGTTCAATCAGAAAGACGTCAGAGTTTCTCAATAAGATCAAGATTTGTAATACTCGACCCTGTTCATAACTGTGCAGATATCGACAGACTTATTACAATACACAGCAGCCAAAACAACTAGTTAAATACCTTCGAGAGGGAAATCTCGAAACGTGGTTGGAGTGACCCCTTTCACGAACTCCCTCAGTTCTTCGGTGATACCAAACATCTCAAGGTCCTTCTCTTGCGCGCAACTGACTGCATAAGATTCCGCCAGCGGAGGGACAACCCCGCCGCCGGGAGTATGAATTCCCTGGGCTAAGTGTTTGAAATGGTCGGCTCGCTTCAAGGCTTCAATTCGAATTTGATCGGCTCGCTTGGAAGCCTCAGAGACAACTTCCTTGGAGCGCTTGGTGGTCTCGGCGATAATATCGGAAAATCTGGAAGTGCCGAAGGAGAGGTCCACGGATCGCTTGGCGGCTTCCTCAGCTAAGCTTCGAGCTTTGTTCCAGAAGTCCATGCCTTTCAAGTTAACCAGAAGCCTTTCAGTTCTTCGTCCTTCTCGGGTTGATCGCCGTTGACATCAGTGAAGTCAAGGAACGCAGGAAGTAATTACTGTTCCTGAATCTTTATGCATCCATTTCCATTCTCAATAACTTTCGGAGCATGTGTAATTCCAAAGCTTTGGTTTAAGAAGAAAAAGCTTGTGGGAAATTTTTTTTTTCCCCAATTAACACCATTATCCAAATTATTTTGCTTCTCTTCATTTTTCGGCGTGACAGGTTATTTTATTTTATTTTTTAAAAAAGGACAAATTATTACCAAACTATAGTCCATTACACAAACATAAAAAAAAAAAATAAGATTTGATGGTTATACTAAATATAAGCATTGAATATTTATATTATTTAAATTGTTGAAATTCAGATCAATAATTTTAAACTCGTATTTCACTTAAAATTAATGAATGAGTAAATTTTTTTAAAATATTAATATAAATTTTAATGGTTCAAGTAGTATAAACTTTAGTCTTCAGAATTACTTAATCTAAATTTATATAAAAAAGACCACTCAAAACACTAAAACTAAAAAACAAGATAAACATAAACAAACAACAACAAAAGACTAATGTTAAAAAAGGCCTTCAGCAAGCATATCCACGAGGAGCCCACCAAAGCTGGGGACAAGTTGAAGATGGTGTGGAAGTGGAGATCATCCAGCAACTTACTTATGCAACCAATGCATGAACTCTGTAACATCATCTCCAAAAGAAAGAGTACCTATAAAGCCTAAAGGCATAGGAGTGAGAAGTAGAAGTTCTCCACAAAATGGCTGAAAGCCAAAGTGCAGAAGCAATTGAGTTATATCCATGGGAGCCATGAAAATCTTGAAATTGAAGGTGGCCGCAAAAGAACCTGCAACACGAAGGTGAAAAAACAACATGCCCATTAAAAGCAAGTAGCCTGAAGAACATAGAAGGATAATTACACTACCCATTTCATGAGTCAGGTAGTCGGGCTTTTTTAGCAACGAAACTCGAGAAACCCTCAGTAGCATCAAAATCAGAAGCAATTAGAAGAGCCGAACACTGCCCATTTTATTGAGTTTGTAAGATCTTATTGAAAGCAAGTAAAGTTGAGTAGCCTAACGCAAGGGAAGTGGCATAACTACATATTTTATGCTCTTCCCAACTTCCAGAGCTCATATCTCTAGGTCCACCAAAGGACAAATGTGCAAATAGCTCTCAGTCTAATGATTATGGATTAGTAGTGCATCCACAAGATCACTGATAAGATTCCGGATAACGTGCCCATAAAGACTTATTCAAGAAAGAAACATCAAAAGATAAAATAGAATAAATTAAGATAATTAAGATAGATTATTTGATTCAGTCTTTTATTTAGTATTTTATTTGGTACTTTCCTGTATTTAGTTTTTATTCAAATTTCCCTAAATTTTATTTAGTTGTTTAGATTTGATTCAGCATTTTAGATATTTGGATTTTTTAGTATCTTGGATTTTATCTAGTTATCCAGTTATCTAGATTTTATTTAATATTTTATTGTATTTAGCTTTATAAATATGACTAGTAACTTAGAAGCTAGCATATCAGAATTAATGAAATAGTCTTTCAAACCCTTTGGAGATTCTCCTAAGCGTGGCTATTAAGAGGAGTATAGAACGGGATTCTTGTTTCATACCCTCCTAATAGATTTATTTCTCTTATTCTATTTTACTATCGTGAGCACCTACCAATTTGGCATCAGAGCCATGGTCACTACACGTGCTGGTCAAGAGACCAACCCTACCAATAACCCATCCAACATCGCCTCAGAAAATCCTAACTTGCTTGCACACGATCTGGCTCTTATCTCCTCTAAATTAGAGAAACTCGACATATTACAAGAAAAGATAGAAGCTTTAAAAGCATCAGCAACACAAAGAAGTAGAAGGACTCCAGAAAGTCGACACAGACGCCGTAACTGGGATGAGGAAAGTGAAGAAGAATTCGATTATTACAAGAGGGGGTCACGTCTGCCTCAACCCAAAATTAATTTTCCCAAATTCAGCGGGGGTGATCCTCGGGGATGGATTCTTAAAGCTAAAAAATATTTTCAGTATTATCATACCCCAGAAGAATCAAAGGTGGATATAGCATCTATGTCATTAGAAGGAGATGCTTTGGATTTGTTCTCTTGGTTAAATTCAGAACGCACCTTACTATATTGGGATGAGTTAGTGAAGGCGCTGCAGGAGAACTACGGACCACCTGAATACCAGAACCCGGACGAATATTTGTGTAGAATCAAGCAAGACGGCTCTGTACAAGAATATCAATAGGAATTTGCAAGGCGCGTCGCCAAAGTAAAAAACTGGCCTGAACACTGCCTTCTCGGCGTGTTTCTCAGTGGGCTAAAGGAGGAGCTCCAATCAGACGTTCGAATTCACAAGCCCAGGAGTGTATATCGTGCGCTCAACCTTGCTCTAGAATTCGAAGGGAAGATGACTTCGAACGGACCCAAATTGAATCCGGGTCAAAACCCGACCCGACCTTATTATGGGTCCTCAGCCACCGCACGTGACTCGAATCAACCACCGAGGAGGTCAGTTGGATTCTCACCGGCGAACACGAGCCCGAACGCGTACAGGACCTCGACGCATACTGCATCACCCTCGGCCTCCCTCACTCCAGCAAATACGCATCCTTCTAAGCTTCCTCCAGGCGAGATCGAACATCAGAGAAGGAGAGATAAAGGACTGTGCTTCCGCTGTGGGGAGCAGTTCCGGCCTGGGCATTAATGTAGGGGTTCCTTCTCTTTAATGGAGATCACCGAGGAAGGAGAGGAGATTTTTCCCCCCTTGATGACGTCGCGCTTGAAGAAACAGAACCTGAGGGAGCCGAAATTTCACTAAATGCCATCCTGGGAAATAATTCTAGCTCAACAATGAAATTAAGTGGCAGATTAGGCTCTAGACAGGTGTTATTATTGGTGGATAATGGATCCACCCATAATTTTATTTTTGATGCATTGGTTCAGGAGCTATATCTACCTACCCAAGCTATTTCTACTTTTGGGGTCTAAATAGGCCATAGCAGTATTGTGCGATGCAACCGAGTCTGCAAAGATATTGAAGTAGAATTGACGGGGCTAACAATTAAAGATTTTTTCCCCTTCACTCTAGGGGGTGCTGATCTAGTTCTCGGTATTAAGTGGCTAGCATCTCTCAATACAGTGCAAGCTAATTGGAATCAACTCTTCATGATTTTCTGGGTGAATGGCAAGAGGTATAAGTTACAAGGAGTTCCTAATGCTGCTAAAGGTGCTCAATTTAATTCAATGCAAGCTTCCGCTGACCTTAAACCTTCCCAATATTTCAACCTAAAACCTTTATTTGCCACATTTCCTGCCGTCTTTGAAGAACCCATAAATTTGCCACCCTTCCAAAATCACTCCCATACCATTACCCTACAACCAGGAGCCAACCCACCCAATTTATGACCCTATCGATATCCTCATTATCAAAAAACTGAGATTGAGAAACAAGTTGAAGAATTACTGCAAAAGGGATTTATTCGACCTAGTTCTAGTTCATTTGCCAGCCCAGTCTTACTGGTTGTAAAGAAAGACAAGTCATGGCGCTTCTGCGTAGATTACCAAAAATTGAATAGTATCACCATTCTAGACAAGTACCCAATCCCCAACATTGATGAGTTAATAGATGAGTTACACAGGGAAACTTATTTCTCCAAACTGGATCTACGATCGGGATACCACCAAATTCAGATGTCACCTGATGATATTTACAAAATAGCGTTTCACACTCACTCCAGGTACTATGAGTTCACAGTCATGCCTTTTGGCTTAACTAATGCACCAGCCACCTTTCAAGCAATCATGAACGATTTATTTCGTCCTTATTTACAAAAATTTATACTTGTCTTTTTTGATGACATCTTGATCTACAGTTCATCTCTTCAATAACACCAAGAGCATCTACACACTGTATTCCAAACTTTACAAGAAAATGTATTCTATGTAAATTTAAAAAAATGCTTCATTGGTCAGCTGAGAGTTCCCTTTTTAGGACACAACATTTCTGCCCAAGGGGTTGAAGTTGAGGCTGGGAAAGTAGAGGCAGTACGAGAATGGCCTGTCCCGAAGAATGTAAAGGAGTTACGTGGATTCCTAGGCCTTGCAAGATATTATAGACGTTTTGTGAAGAATTTTGGGATTATTGCACGACCACTCACTGAGTTGACTAAGAAAGATGCCTTCTTATGGTTTGAACTAGCTCAGCAAGCTTTTAACCGCCTTAAACTTGCATTGATGATGGCATCGGTCTTACAGTTACCGAACTTTGAGGAGGAATTTGTAGTTGAATGTGATGCGTCCACAGAAGGTATTGGAGCTATACTCCTACAAAACAACCATCCCATTGCTTACTTCAGTAGAGGATTTTCATTCTCTAATTGCTTCAAATCCACTTATGATCGAGAACTCCTAGCGTTAGTTCTTGCAGTACAAAAATGGCACCATTACCTCCTCGGGAGGCATTTTTTTGTCAGAACAGATCATGCTAGTCTGCAATATTTGCTACAACAACGCATCACCATCAACACCCAACAAAGGCTAATCATCAAGCTTTTACCATTTAATTTTACTATTATACACAAGGCAGGAGCAGAAAATAAGGGAGCTAATGCACTATCATGACGACCCCAGCATGTAGATTTTTTTCAATTAGCAATCCCTTTTGCTACAGAGCTTCATGACCTCACCTCTGAATTAGCATTAAATCCCTTCACTAAGGAAATAATGCAGGACATATAGAAAGATCCGTCGTCTTGACCTGGATTTCACTTGGTTGATCAAAATCTCTTTTATGACCACAAAGTAGTCATTCCCTACTCATCCCAACTATGACCGAAGTTACTAGCAGAAGCCCACTCGACTGCAGTTAGGGGACACGATGGTTTTCTTAAAACATTCAAGTGACTATCAGAGAACTTTTATTGGCCTACTATGAAGGCCGATGTAAAGACATATGTGAGGCATTGTGCCACTTGTCAGCAAAATAAGTATCAAACTTTGGCACCAGCAGGACTTTTGCAACCCTTACCTGTACCCTCTCAAATTTGGGAGGATATCTCACTGGATTTTATCACTAGTCTCCCTAA